GCCCAATTTCACCTGTACACCAAGATCCCAAATTGAAGCAACAAACCCTAACAATGGTGAAATCTCATACAGTCCATAAAAATGCAATCAAACGTTACAGAAAGCTTGCAAATGTGATGGTGAACAAGAATATATGATTATATCATGCTGTAAGTGCCAGAATTATGCAAACCAAATTCAAAAAAGTTCAATGTCGTGAATGACTTACAGCGAGTTTCAAGTCCTGGAAATGCTAGTTCTTGATTAGTTTTGCTTGCTGGTGATCCCAGGAAGCGATTGGGATGGTCAAGAGGCTTTGAGGAGGCCTGGAAATATGAAATCGTGTCTGCACTTTTTTGGTGTTTTTTCAAGTTTTGATCTTGTTCTCACGCCTCCCTCTAGCCTTGTTTTAGGTCTTCAAACATTCAATATATATCAAGGATTGGATTAGGGTTGAAAACCTGATCTCAATCTTCTTCCATCATTGCTTTTGATCTTGATTTGATTCCTTTGAATATCTTTCCAAAAATATCCAAATTCAATCTTTTTGTGCACACCAATGCTTTTGTAAGATTCCAATCTTATGCTAGCTGGATATAGGACCTGAAACATGTACAAGATCTTTGGATTTCAATGTTTTGGATTTTCTATGATTTGTTTTGATTAAAATTGATTTAATTCAAATAAAAATCAAAATAAATAATAAAAACAAGATAATGACAAGTGGAAAGGGCTAGGTCTCGTGGACCATGCTACCAACTCAAAACAAGTGCAAAAAGTTAGGCCCATTTAGCAAAAATTGCAATTTGAGGCATAGTTAACTTTTGGCAATTTTGCAAAAAAGGTCAATTTCACCAATGCATAACTTCCTCAATTTTGACTCTTTGGAGGTGTTCTTGGACTTTTTAGAAAGCTTGAGATGTCCTATAATCAACCCTTTTTGTCTCATCTCAATTTGGTATTCCATGTTCATGTGTGAAGCTTTGACAAAAAAGGTTTTTTTGTTGACTTTTCAAAATGACCTATAATGTCCAAAGTCATAACTTCTTGTGAGTGCATATTTTGAACTTTGGAGATAAATATGGATTGTATATAATTTCATCCTATTCAAAATGAGCTTTGGATGGGTCATTTATCATAAAGTATGAGAAAGTTATGCTTGGTTAAAGTTGAGTTGACTTTTCCTACAAAACCTTAATTTAGCAACTTTTGGGTTTCAATGAATTATGAGCAATCCTTGAGGAATCATGATCAACCCTTGATAAAATTATGAATAATACTTCAAAATGAGGATGTTGACCAAAAATCTTGAAGTTTGACTGTATGTAGGCCACGGTTGACTTTTGCCCTAACACAGTCGATTTTCAGGCCTTTGAGCAATTGACTGAGCAAATTTCCTCTGCATGGCTTGAAACTTGACATGGATGATCTTGAGAACATATTAGGACATTGGTGAGCATTTGGGGTCCCTTGGACTCAAGTATCTTGATGCAACAAGAAACCATAATTTGAGGTAGACTGCCTTAGGAGAGAGCTTGTCTGGTCAACCTTTGGACTTCCTTGAGGATCTTACTTGAAGTGTATTGAGAAATATGGGAGGGAAAATTTTGGGATACAACAGCACGCAACCAAGGCTGGTCGACATTTTATTTAGATGTGAAATCGGCATTTCTGAATGGTCCTTTAGAAGAAGAGGTCTATGTCACAAAACCTCCAGGGTTTGTGATTTAGAAGGAAGCGAGTAAAGTATATAAGTTGCACAAAACGTTCTATGGCCTCAAGCAGGAACCTAGGGTTTGGAACAAGAAGATTGACTCATACTTAGTCCAATTGGGATTTGTCTAATGCAAATTTGAGTATGGTGTCTATGTTCAGGTTGTAGCATAAGATATAACAATCATCTACTTATATGTTGATGACTTGCTAGTGACTAGAAATAGCTTGGAGAACTTGTCAAAGTTCAAAGAGCTGATGATGAAGGAATTTGAAATGTCTGATATGGGAAAATTGTCTTATTTCTTAGGTATGGAATTTCAAATGTCGAAGCAAGGTATAGTACTACATCAAAGGAAGTATGTCAAAGAAATACTCAAGTAATTCAGAATCGATGATTCAAATCCTGCATCCTCACCTGTCGAACCAAATGTAAAATTGGAAAATAATGAAGAGGAAGACAAAGTCGATGTAACTTTGTTCAAGCAAATTATGGGATCTCTGAGGTATGTATGCAACAGTCAACCTGATATAGGTTTCGTTGTAGGATTAGTAAGAAGATATATGAGTGAACCAAGAGTGTCACCTATGAAGGCTGCAAGAAGAATCCTGAGATATTTGAAGGGTTCAATAAACTGTGGAAAACTATTTCGACGAGATTCTGAAGACAAAAAAGCAATAGTTAATTGTTTTTCACATGCTTATTGGTGTGGAGATAAGGAAGGTCGAAGAAGCACAACTGGATATTTCTTTCAAGTATTTGGTGCCCCAATCTCATGGTGTTCGAAGAAACAACTTGTGGTGGCATTATCATCTTGTGAAGCTGAATATATAGCAGGATCATATGCTGCATGTCAAGCAATTTGGATCAGGTCTATACTTGAAGAAATAAAGGTCAAAGTGAAGAAACCTCTTGTATTGCAAATCAATAATAAATCAGCCATAATTCTGGCGAAGAATCCAGTTCTGCATGGAAGAAGTAAACATATTGAAGCAAGATTTCACTTCTTGAAGGAAAAGGTAAATCGAGGTAAACTTGAAGTAAGGCATGCTCGAGTGAAGCACAATTGGCCGATATTTTCACCAAAGGATTGAAGATTGACAAATTCTTGAATTTGAGAAAGAAATTATGAATAGTTCAGATTGACTATTTTTGAGGATGTTCGACTACTTGGATTATGCGGGTGTGTTGAAATATTAAATTAGATTTGTTAAAATATTATATTAGATTTGATTTGATTAGATTTAATATTTAAATATAATTCAAGTTGTGTAGACCCAAGCCTAATTAGGGTTGTATATAAATAGTCTTAGTCTGTATCATTATTTGTACAATTCAATAATATAAATCCTTATTTCTTTTATTATTCCATCTTTCTCTCCTTATCAAAAGTGCCTCACGCACTAACCGGAACTAGCATGCCATTTACATATTCTTCCCCGGGTCCAAGTCGACAAAGTTAATTGATGAAAGTCCATCACACTATTTATTTAATAGTTAATTTCAATATTTTTAGTTATTTTTATTGTTAATGCATTTTTTGTTTTGTACGTTTTAATAAAAATTTTAGAAATTTATGGAAAATATCAAACTAAACCAAAATCATCCTAACTAGACAAATTTCATTGTATTTTATAGTAAAAGTTACGATGAAATAGTAAAGAGAGGACTAACACACGAAGAACGAAAGAAAAACACAAAAAAAATACAAAGGATAATCATTAATGGCACATCCATACACAACATCAACGTTATCTAACTAGGAATGACCAAAGTGGCATCTTCGATAGCATAATAACACAATTGAAACATTATGCGAAAGAATTTCAAATTTTCAAAAATACATAAATTGACTAATAATGGCCCAGTTAAGTCAAAGTACAAAATATTTTGTTGTATTTTTCAGAATTTTTTCTATAAATTGTAAAACATGTTTAGTCATTAGATTTCTGATTGTTATAAAGAGATGGACGTATTTTGGTACCAAGGGGCAAGGAAAATGAAAGCTACCATTAGGGAATTATCCATAGTCGATGTAAGTTTTAATTCTTGCTTTTTACTCGTAAAAGTCATGAATTTCTTAAAGATGAATGATTAGTTCTCTTAGATTATGTTTTCTCCTAAATGAGTTTACCCCTTACAATGTGAACAATGTAATCTTTTTTTTATTGTATCTGTAATGAACATTTGTTTGATTAATTATATAACATTATTTGAGCTAAATGTTTTTCCTCTTTTACGAATTGAAATAACTAATTTAGATGGCAACCTTGACCTAACTGGAGATTTGCACATCTAATCATAATATTCTGGGATGTTATTATTGTCAACAAGCATGAATGAATAGTCTTGACCATTAGGCTAGTTTTACACGCTATAAAATCTTCTTCATTTGTGATTATATTCCCTTAAGATCTCTAAGGGGTCGCTTCAGACGAAGCAGATTACTCCGCTATCAATCCATTGGATGTGTTTTATAAAATAGTCTTCTTATTTATGCACTATAAAACATTTGTCTGCTGCAATTATATTTTATGTGATCTCTAGGGGTCGCTATAGAAGAATCAAGTTATTTGGCTATTAATCTGTTGGGTAATCGTGTTTTTGTAAAATGTCATAGCTAAATCAAAATTGTTATAGGTTCGGTCAAATGTTTCTCACAAGTAGGAGTAGATGATTCGAATGAGAAACTTAATCGTCTTTATCATCATCTTAGTCGATTGTACTAACTCAATTCACTAGTATTATAATTATCCATAATTCAATCAATATCGCTTTGCACGCCTCATTACAATTATAATTTTCACGTTAAAAATCACAAATACAGACATCTTATTCTTCCATATACAATTTTCGTAGATATGATAATTTATTTACAACTTTGTCTTGTACCAAAGACAATTACGAACGAAAAATAAATTAAAAGACTATTAAACACAGTGTTTTACCGGAAATATATGGAAATACTTGTGTTATTCAATATAAAGTATCATAAAAAACATGCTAGTGAAGAACTTGGTTCCAACCATATTAACACCATAAATAACAAATATTATTTGCAATAGGGTTATGTATTGATTCAATGCCGTATTCATAATGGAGTTTTATTCTTTAGGCAAATATCAAATTAATTAAAAGAAAGAATACATTATTTTACATTGAATAACAAGCAAACAAACTTTTTATCTAATTCATGTTACATTCTATAATCTCACACTAAGTTTTTTGTGCATACACATGTTTTGAAAGGTTTTGAAGATGATGTACTCAAACACCTTTGTAAAATCAAAGATTAAAGAAAGAATCATTAAGCTAGATGCCGATTTTTCCTGCCTCTACTTGTATGTGGGGATCTCATTTCGCGGAGTCTCCTCTCTTGTGAAAGTATTTTTGCAAGCCTGAAAAGTCACAATCAAATGTGTTATGATTAGTATTATATTAATCATAGCATAACTATAATTTGAGTAATAACTAAAATGCACCATTAGTTTCTTAATTACCTCTTGAGAGCTTCTTCATTAGTTTCTCCACTTTTCAGTGGCTCAAAGTGACCATTTTCTAAGTTAACCCTAGAAACTGGTTTCTTCAATAAGTTCTCACCAATTTGGCAAAGTTTCTTCAAGTTTTCCTCGGTAGCAATGTCGACCGAAGAATCTATTCCAGTCAACGTATCATCCTGCATTTTGTGTAACAAATTAATCATTTATCCTTTGTATTGAAAATTCTAATATTACCGAGATCAAAACATGTATACATTTTTTACCTGAATTCGAAGGTAATTATCTTCTGAATGAAGAGCTTGAGTAACCGCAGATAAATGAAAATCAACCATATCACCACTTGATTGAGTAAAAACATCAATTAAAGGATTAGAACCACTATGTGTTAACCAATCCAATAATCCCCATTTTGCAGCCATTTGTGCACTAAACTTTTCCTCATTTTTTGCTGTTCCAGTCCCTAATGAAATGATCAGAAATCTTCCATATTCCAAAGGCTTGATTGGAAAGAAATCCGGACTTTGATTGATGATTTGCTTTGTTACTTCATTCATAGCAACTAAAGCCTAAATCATTAAAAAAAAAAAACTAACAAATTAGTTTTATCTTCAAGAAAAGATTAACAACTAGTTACAACTTATTATAAAACTGAACATACGGGATTATTTGCGCAAACACCGCCATCAATGAGATTGAACTCTTCTTCTTTTCCAGCTTCTTTATTTACGAAGCAATGAGCAGGAAGATACGTGGGTGCAGCAGATGTACTAATGCATATGTCTGAGAGTTTTGCATTCAAGTAAGGAGTTTTCTTAATCTGCATAAATTTCATACTAATTTAGTCTAAAGTTTGAACATAAATGAAAAAAACACTCAAAATGAATTTATAATTAACCTGATAAGATGAGAAAATAATTGGCTGCAAAGTCTTGATATCAAATGTGGGAATAACAATGTTGGTGATGGTTTCATTCAACTTAATGTCACCAAGTTTCTGTCTTACAACTTCATGAAGATATTTTCCATCATATTTAGGTCCTCCAAGAGATCTTATTACTTTCGCTAACATAATCCCACCTACGCCTCTACAACAAATTAATTCAACACATAAAAACATTATTTTCTCTATTTTTTTATTCGTAAAAGAAATATCAAACACAAGTTAAAGTCCGAAGTCTCAAGTTTGAAGGTCCAATCTAGTAATATCGACTTTGTCGGATGACTAACCTATGTTGTGGGAATATTTTTGGGCAGTGTTCAAGGTAGAAGGGTTTGATATCTTTGGCAGCAAAAAGTGGACGATTGTTTTGATCCGGAGCAGCTAACATGGCGGTAACAAGACCACCTGTGCTTGTTCCTGATATTACATCAAAGTAGTCTGCAAGTCTTGCATCTTCACCGTCCAATTCCTGCATAAGTATCAAGTTAATTAGTTGGAATATTATTTCAAATTATATATATATTGTTGAAGATTGTATATCAGATTAAAATACTTGAAGTTGAGATTCAAGGAATTCAATAATTGCAGCAGGGATGAGGCCCCTAATGCCACCACCATCAATGCTAAGAATGGTTACTAAGTTTCCATAAGTAGGGGGTTGAATTTGTTCAATAGATAACTTTGTGACACCCTCCATTGTTAAAATGTTATGTATTTTTTCTTATGAAAATCAAAGATGCTGAAAACAAAGGTAGTTTAGAGTATGGTTTGTAAATGAAGAGTTTAATGTAGAAATATAAGTTTGTGATATGATATGATAGATGATTATGATATTTATAGTGGAAGGAATGACTTTGTTAGATTCTATTTGACAGGGTCCATGTTAGTATGGCGTTGTCAAGGGAGGCTGCGAAATGAATTTGAAAATGTCCTAGTGGGTAGTTCAATCAATTCCAAGATCATTATAATATTAAAATTAGGCATTTTTACTTGTTTGGTGATGGGTTAGAGTATATCCATGTGCATCATTGTGTTTAGTAAGGGGCTCATGGAAGTTGTTTAATTGGTTTTGAGGTAAAGTGTTCTTTCATTCAAAGAAAAAAAAAATTAATTGTAATTTAGTCCGGTTCGATTCGATTAGATAAATTTTGGTCTTGTCGAGTTTGTAATAAAATATTGTTTGCAAATCAAAGTTCACAACACAACACAGTTCAACTTGATAATTTAAATTTGATCCAATTAAATAGCTCAAAATGGATTGAAAAATAAATAAAAAATTTAAAAAATTAACTTTTTTTTATTAACTTCATGTATTAGAAAAGAAAAGATAGAACAAAAAGAAAAAAAAAGAAAAGAAGACTAGGTCTGACTCAAAAGCCAAACAAGAGCTAAGAACTTAATAAAATCTAAATTTAGGGAGATCTGACTTGCTTCTAATCATGTCTGGTCAAATAACGTGAGGATCATGATCCCACTAAAAGAAATGTAAGAGGAATAAATCAATAAAGGTTGCACAATGATTATCTTCTCTAAAGGTATGAATAATCATAAATTGCATGTTGTTGGCTTGGGCAATGTTGTTGGTCCATTTATTTTTTATTTGCAAAGGAATTAGGTGAATTCATTACTACATACAACACATTTCACAACCATTATAATAGACATATAACCATGATTGAGGATCTGAGATAAAGTAGTGAATGATAGTAAGTTGACTACTTACCACCATAGGTTAATGGTTGTGGTAATAAATTAGAAAACATTCTACATATTACCACAATTGTAATAAACAATTATAGTGAAAAACTAAAAGGTTGTTGAAATATTAAATATAATATTATATATAATATAAGTTGTATAATATAAGTTTAAGTTTAATTAAGGTTTGTTAGTCTATTTAGTGTACAAGTTAGTTGTATATAAATAGACTAGTTTGTATCATTCTTTTATTTATAACAATTCAATTCATAATAGAATCTTTATTTTCCTTTTTCTATCTTTCTCTCCTCACTAAAAATGTCTCACGCACTAACAAATTGGTATCTAGAGCCCCGTTTAGATTCTTGATCGTGTTTTCAAGAATCACACGTAAGAGATGGTATTTCCAGGATTATGGGTTTTTCACTAGGAATCACTACGAAGATGAATGGTAACAATAGCATTTCAAATTCTCTTTCAACTCTTGACGACAAGAATTAGATTCGATAGAGAAAACAGATGCAATCTCTATTTGGGTTTCATGAAATCCTAGAATTGATTACTAATGGCGTTTCTATGGTGGCTGCAGATGCAACGAACACACAGAAAACGACCAGCAACGAAGCCAGGAAGAAGGATTGCAATGCGGCGAATTGCATTCAGTCGTCAGTCGATGCGGCAAACTTCGACAGGATCTCTCGTGTTGAATCGGAAAAAGAGGGATGGTATATTCTTGTCAAGTAATATGAAGGAGGTGAGAAAGTTAAGATTGTCGAGTTGTAGACCTTGCGTCGATAATATGAATTGTTGCCGATAGGAGAAGACGAAAAGATTGCAGAGTATGTGTCGAAGATGCAGAAACTCGTCCATCTCATGAAGGGTTATGGTGAAACCATAACTGATAAGATGATAATTGAGAAGTTAATGTGTACGCTGACCTCTAACTTTGATCATGTTATCGTAGCTATTCAAGAATCCAATTAACTTGAAACCATAAAACTAGAAGATGTGGTTGGTTCATTAGAAGCACGTGAGATTAGGATTATCGAAAGGAAATTAGTTCAATATTCGATACAAGCTTTGTAGGCTCACTCATTTAAAAAGAATGGTGGTTCCAACAAATTCAAAGGCATGTTTAACAAGACTCAGGGCAAGAAGTCTTGGTTGAATCCCCATAAGAATTAGGTCGGTGATAGGGCTTAAGAATCCTCGAAAAGAGGAGGAGGAAACTATCAAAATGACAAAGAAGATAAAAAAGGTATGTAGTGCTACAACTGTGAAAGTGGGGTCACTTTGTTAATAATTATTGGTAAAGGAAAGACAAGGGATCGACATACAAGGACGAATGAGCGAACCTTACACGCCAAGATTCAGATGATTCTAAAGGTATGGTGGTTACTGCTACAGTTGCAGATAACCATGTCGAATCCAAGATTTGGTTCCTCAACTCAGGTTGTTCGAATCACATGACTGGTCAAAAGGTGTGGTTGACATATTTCGATGATTCAAAGAAGAGAAAGGTAAAACTTGCTCATAATAGTTTGTTACAAGCAAAAGGTATTGGCAACATAGTTTTTCAAATGAGTAATAGAGGGGAAACTATGATCAAATATATGCTGTATGTATCTGGAATGAAGTGCAACTTTCTAAGTGTTGGACAACTGGTCGAAAAAGGTTTCTCATTTGTCATGAAAGATGAAGCTTTAAAATTGTTCGACACCTAGAACAATTTCATCTTAAAATCTCGGTTGTCAAAGAATAGGACGTTTAAGACCATGATCAGTTCGATTGAAGTACAGTGTCTAAAAATTGTTGTCAGCCACAAGGATAATTTGTTATGGCATTTGATATCATCCTACATACTCGAAGTGGTACATTCAGATGTATGTGTCCCTTTTGAAGAATATACCATTGGTGGAAACATATATTTTGTTTCGTTTGTCGGTGAGTTTAGTCAAAAGTTATGGATCTATGTGATCAAGAGAAAATATGAAGTATTCAAAATCTTTAAGAGATACAAGATACTTGTCGAAAACCAGAGTGAGAAGAGGATCAAAGTTTTACAAACAAATGGAGGTGGCGAATACACATCCAAGATGTTTGAAGATTTTTATGAAGAACATGGTGTCGATCATGAGGTAATTGCTCCTTATACGCCTAAATATAATGCAATTGCAGAAAGAAGAAACAAGACCATATTGGATATGGCGAGATACGTGTTGAAGCAGAAGAATTTTCCAAAATCCTTATGGGGAGAAGTTGTTTCAAGTGCAGTTTATATCCTGAACAAGTGCCCTACCCAGAAATTGAAGAACAAGGTTCCTGAAGAAGTATGGAGTGGAAAATGAACATCAGTGGGTCATCTGAAGGTGTTTGGATCTATTTGTTACAAACATGTTCCTGATGCAAGGAGAATGAAGCTTGATGACAAAGTGAACCTATGATTCTGGTAGGATATCATAAAATTGGTGCATATAGGCTATTCAACCCAATTAATGAGAAGATTATGGTGAATCGAGACATTATGATTGATGAAAAGTTTTCCTAGGATTGGAATTCTAATGATGAAATTAACAATCCATTGATGAGTTATAGTTTTGGTGAAGAAACAAATGAAGTCGAAGTCGAAGAAATTGCAAATATTCTAGTCGAAGCAAATTTTGACATTCCCGACACTTTCGAAGTCAAAGAGGGTGTGGCTAGCACAAGCCAAAGACCTCAAAGAACTAGAGTTCTTCCAGAAAGACTTCATGATTGTGAAGTGGTTGCTGATGATGGTCATATCAGATGGAGAATTAGTTCATTTTTCTTTACTTGCAGGCGCTGAACTAATCAACTATAGTGAGACTTTGAAAATTAAACAGTGGAAGTCTACTATGGTCGAAAAATTACAGGAAATAAAAAGAAACAACACATGAGAGTTAGTCGAATTGTAGCACATACAAAAGTTATTGAAATTAAGTGGGTGTTCAAGTTGAAGCACAATGTAGATGGATCGATAGCCATATATAAATCAAGATTAGTAGCTCAAGGTTTTCTTCAAAGAACATGACTCGACTACTCTGAAGTATTTGCTTCAATAGCAAGATTATAGACTGTTCGACTAGTGGTAGCATTGGCTTGCAAGTAAAACTGGTCGACATTTCATTTAGATGTGAAATCAACATTTCTGAATGGTCCTTTAGACGAAGACGTCTATGTCACACAACCTCCAGGGTTTGTGATTCAAAAGGAAGCGAGTAAAGTATATAAGTTGCATAAAACACTATATGGCCTCAAGCGGGCACATAGGGCATGGAACAAGAAGATTAACTCATACTTAGTCGAATTGTGATTTGTAAAATATAAGTATGAGCATGGTGTCTATGTTCAGGTTGTAGAACAAGATATAACAATCATTTGCGTATATGTCAATGACTTACTGGTAACTGGAAATAGTTTGGAGAACTTGTCGAAGTTCAAAGAGCTGATTATGAGAGAATTTGAAATGTCAGATATGTGAAAATTGTCTTATTACCTAGTAATGGAATTTCAAATGTCGAAGCAAGGTATGGTTCTACGTCGAAGGAAGTATATCAAAGAGATACTCAAGAGATTCAGGATGGATGATTCGAATCATGCATCCTCACCTGTCGAACCAAATTTGAAGTTGGAGAAACATGGAGAGGAAGACAAAGTCGATATAAGTTTGTTTAAACAAATAGTTAGATCTCTGAGATATGTGTGCAATACTCGACCTGATATAGGTTTCGCAGTCGGATTAGTGAGCAAATACATGAGTGAACCAAGTGAGTCACAGATGAAGGCTGCAAGAAGAATTATGATACATTTAAAAGGATCGATAAACTATGGAATTCTATTTTGAAGAGACTCTGAAAGCAAAGAATCAAAAGTTACTTATTTTTTAGATGCTGATTGATGCGGAGATAAAGAAGATCGAATAAGCACAGCTGGATATTTATTTTAAGTCTTTTCTTCCCCAATCTCATGGTGCTCGAA